AGTATGGATCAAGGTGCAGATTCAAGTAACCCACAGTCCTCTGAGGGTTATCCACCAAACCTAATCCAGTTATCTCTGTTCCCAGTGCAGACAGGTAAGCGATAAGCGATCCAAGCAAAACTCCAAAAGGAGTTTCATCACCCCACTCTCAGACACCTACCATAGGAAGGGGAAAATTACCCTGCAGAGATGCCTATCTGGTTTCATGAACTGCGCAGGAATGTAAATAAACTGCTTATACTACACAGCTGGTGGATAAAGACAGGTGGAATGAGTCTCACCTTTTGCGTTGGGATGTGTTGCAATCAAATGAGAATTTATTAGCCAAGATTCAGTGGTATGAAACTAGCTTCATCATAGGAACTGAGGGCAACTGCAGAAAAAGTCAAACACATATTAAAGATAGAATCACAGAATCATATAATGGCTTGGATTGGAAGAGACACCAAGGATCATCAAGCTCCAAACCCCTCACCACATGTAGGGCTGCCAACCTCCATATCTAATACTAGACCTGGCTGCCCAGAACCTCATGTTTTAAGCTGTGCCTGTTTGACCCAAAACCTGACTCTGTAAATTACGTCACTTTCATTCATCTGGGCTGTTACTCTACAAAGACAAGGCAGAGCTCAGTGAAACCTAGCCACAAAGTAGCAAGAGCTGAGACTGGTGCGCTCAGTATGTATGATGCAATAAATGACACAAGCAAAAAGATAGCAATAGTCATGCTTTTTCATGTCTTAAATGTGTCAGAAAAAGGCACATTCTTCTTAATTTTCTTTTAATTATATTCTTTCATTCTTATTCCTTCTCATGCTCACTAATCCTGTGAGCATTTGTAATTTCAATTTATACAGTGTTTAATCTTTAAAATATTCATTATTAATCTGCAGGAAGATACACTTCCTTATTTTGTCAGCTTACTTCCCAGATCTCCTTTTTGCTGGTTTTACTTCTCCTTTTTAGGAAAAAAGAAAAGGATTTTTTTTTTTTTTTTTCATTTTTCCAGTTGTGTCTAATTTCAGTAAGGAAAGTATTAATTCAATTCTTCTGTGTGACTGTGAGTGAGAAACAAGCTGTTACACCATCATTTCTTTTTCTATTGTGTGGGAACTCAGCATTGCATCATCCTTAGCACTGGGAACAAGAGATGAAGATCCTTTCTTGGTGGGTGCGGTCCAAGGTTCGGTAGCCAATCTTCAAGCCAAAGTAAGAGTTCTAAACAGTTTTTAAAGCTGCTTGTTTTGTGTCTGAGCACTTGGGGACTGGGCGTTATCAACATGTGTAAGGGCGTGAGAACTGCAAGTCATAGAAAGCATTAAGAACAACTAGAAAAGCTTAGATTCAGAAAGCATCATTACTTAAAATGTAAGAACTCGTAGTACATCTCAAGCGTAAATACACTATTTGGATATAATGATAAAATGGCTGTTCTTAAAGATTTTGCCAATAAATTGCTTATGCTATTTTATAATGAAAATCTGGCCACTGGCATGGATGTTCATCCAGGTACATAGTTCTGTTTGCTGTAGGCCTTTCAGAGAAAGCACTGCTTGACTAAATCTCACGTACAGACAATACAGTAGATTGTTTATTCGTGTTGCTTTTATTTGTTCTGCATGGTTATCAGTTACAGATGACAACTATTACTTGGCCCACATTAAACACTCTTAAAGAATCCAGGAACAAGTAAAAGTAAAATGAAAGGTGTGTCGCTTTGGAGTGTGGTTAAAGTTTATGTGCCTACAGCAGGCATAGCAAAAAGACAAACTGACTTCTACCTGGTGCAAATCTAGACGAGGTGTTAGCATCTATCTCAAAGGCTGTCCATCGAGGAAAAGGCAGCTTTTATTTCACAGACATCTGCACCTGCGTGCAGAGTTTACAACGTAAATATTGCCGTTCTTCAGGGGCTGGAGTAATCGGGAACCCTTCAATAAACAAGCTGAAACTGCTATTCCAGGTGTAGTTGCAGATCTATTTTACAATGCTTCAGGTTGTCATTTTTAATCGGATGGTGGGGAAGATTTCTCCTAAAGAAATGGAGAGAAAAAACAAACCCTAACAAAATACACCTTTCAAAATAGGAGCTGAAAGACTTAGAGAAAGTATACAAGGAAACACGAAACCTGCCAGTGAAATGCAGCCACTCCCCACCTAAAAAAAAAATGTGCCGTTGAGAACCCACTCTTAAGCTAACAATAAAAAAAAACAATGAATCAATAAAGAGCAGGGACTTCCTGTCTGTTATCAGTTTTAATGACCATTGAAGAAAGACACTGAAAAATTCCTTTCTAGGTTGTAGTGGAAATGAAACGGTTTGGTGTTCAAATTCTCCTCAGTTCACAGGGTGGGGTCTGGAACCAGCTCACACATCTTTGTGAGTTCTAGCTAGTTTAGCACTGGAAATAAAGAAGAATTTAATGATCACTCTCATGGTAACTCCAGAAATTGAGTATAAATACGTATAGGAGTAAAGTAATATCTGAAAGAACTTTGCCTCAAAATTCTCAGGAAGGCTAAAAGTATAGAGTACCCATTGAAAAAGGAGCTTGTAGAAGCTATAGGGCACATAAACACAGGGCAGGACAGACAGAGTGTCTGTTCTTTTTTTTTTTTTTTTTGCATAGAATCATAGAATCTCAAGTTGTAGAGATCCGTAAGGATCAGAGAATCCAACTCCTGGCTTCACAGAGGACCACCCAAAAATCAGATCTATGTTTGAGACTGTTGTCCAGATGCTTTTTTGATCTCTAGTAAGCTTGGTGTAATGACCACTGTCCTGGGAAGCCTATTCCAGTTCTCAGTCACTGTCTGATAAAGAATCTTTCCCTAACACCCAATCTGACCCACCTCCCGTGATGCAGCTTTGTACTATTCCCTCAAGTTATATGGCCTGTCACCTCAGAGAGGAGATCAGCACCAATTTAAAAACAAACAAACAAACAAATTTCTATGATGTAGAAGTGTAATTCTATGATTCCTATGTAAACAAAATTATTATACTTTGTTAACATTTTGTAATAATGACATTCCTATTAGTCAGTATTACTGACAGTGCATCTTTCAGCCTCCCCATCATTAAAGTTCTATTTGGGACATGCAGTTTCCAGAAGGAAGTTGCCTTAATTGGGTTCCGTGAGCAGACAGATGGAGTTTATCCCTCTCCCATATGGCAAACAGATTTTTTTTTTGTTTTCCTCTTAATATACAATGGAGCTGAGTTCTTTCCGTTTGTCCTTTGTTGGACTTTGCATTTTTTTGTCCGGATGATAATGAGGAGAACAAGCTGCCCTCAGGCCACTTTTTAGAACTAAGAGTAGCAGGTAGGTCTTTTTGAGTTGTTCTGGAGATTGAGGCAAACATCTCCAGGAAATCCTGAAAACCCTCCAGTCCTTGACAGCAGCTCCTAAGACACCTCTGATGTTACCTCAGACTGAACGTTCACATGCAGACAGCACCACACAAAAACAACTCATTGGGACCCAAAAGCTGCATTCACGCTGTGATGGGGCTCCCTTCCACCTTTCAACAGGGCTACTACCTCAATGCCAACTCCATCCTGCTCTCCCTTGCCTGATGCTAGCTGAAAGCCATCTCCTCACACCTTGCTTACCCACACACTCCGCTCCCACTACCATCCTGCCTGGGGCAGTGGTGCAGTCCCCGTTCTTCAAGATGTTTAAGAACATGTGGAGGAGTCACTTACAAACATGGTTTGGTGATAGGATTCAGCAGACTGATGATTGGATTGTTGGTTGTGTCCAGGCTTGGGACCCCCAGCACAAGAAGGATGTGGACTTGCTAGAGCAGGCGCGTAGGAAGGCACAAATATGATCAGAGAGCAGAAACACCTCTCCCGTGAAGACAGGCTGAGGGAGCTGGGCTCGTTCAACTTGAAGAAGATTCCGAAGAGACCTCACTGTGGCCTTCCAGTACTTGAAGTGAGCTTATAAACAGGACTGAGATGGACTTTTTACACAGTGTAGTAGACATAGACCAGGGGGAATAGCTTTAAACAAAAAGAAATCTAGATTGGATGTTAGAAATCCTTTCCTCAGAGGGTGGTGAGACGCTGGCACAGCTGCCCAGAGAAACTGTGGTGCCACATTCCTGGAGGTGCTCAAGGCCAGGTTGGATGTGGCCCTGGGCAGATGAGCTGGTGGGGGGCAGCCGCAGGGGGGCAATGGCAGGGGTTGGGGTGGAGGCTTTGAGCTTCCTTCCAACCCAAACCATTCTGTGATATTACGACTTGATGATCTTTAAGGTCTTCTCCCACCTAAACAATGTTACAGTCCTATGCTACGGCCCTATCTTTCCTGCCGTGTGGCACGGCTCAGGTAGACACGCTGTGCTGCATGTCGCTTCCAACAGACAACAGGCCCTGTCCCTGTCAAGCAGTGCTTCAGCCCACACGGCACACGCTCAGTGAGTAACTTTTACCAGCAAAGCCGCCCCAAGGCCGCCACCTCAAGGAAACGCCAGCCTAACGTTTCCCCACTGGAACGGCATCACCACTCACGTCACTCACCGAGCGGGCGGGGCGCTGCGGCGCACGCGCACTGCGTGCCTCTGTGGGCGTCTGCGCGGCGGCGGGGAGCGCGGCGGCCAATGGGCGGGCGGGGTGTGTGTGCGTGTGCGGCGGGGGGTGGGGGGGGCGGCAATGTTGTCGGGAGTCACCTGACCGCGGTCGCCGCAGTCGGGCCGCAGCCGCTGGGACGGGAGTAGCCGAGCAGGAGAAAAAAGGAGCGGGGGAAGGAAACGGAGAGAGGCGGCGGCGGTGCTGCCCACCGGCCGCCCGCCCGGCCCGCGGCTGAGGGGCGGCGGCGGCGGCAGCAGAAGCGCTGAGGTGAGCTGAAGGGCGCGCTCTCTGTCCGTCCCCCCCCGCGTCCCCCTCCCCCAGCGGGGCGCTGCGTCCCGCGAGGGCGGCGGGTGCCGCGTTGCCTCTGCGGGGCTCGGCGGCACTGTGACCCAGCGCCGCACTGGGGAAGGCTGCGATCTCTTGGAGCTGGGGGGGCTCCGCTCGGACCGTCGGCGAGGAGGCGGCGAACCTCCCGTCAGGCTCGTTCTGCGCTGTGAAACGCTTGGCGCGCTTCGGGAGTGTAGCAATTAGAAAAGAATCACCGTCTGCTTTTCTATCGAATTGTGGTTGCGTTTTCCTTTTCCAGTCTGTGTAAGTACCTGGGGTCCCGCAACGCTGTGTGCCCTTTAAGCTGTAAGAGTACCTGCACGGAGGGCTTCCTTGGTGAACCTTCTATTGAAACAGCGTTTGGATTTCTTCAGGTGTTCTTCTGGAGCGCGTTTTCCAGTTCATTTCAATGCAGAAGGAGCTGACTTCTGTAGGCTGTCTCCATCTGGTGAAGCGAATGGAAGTGGGATGCTCGGGAAGTCTGCGTTCCTTGCATGCTAACCTAAATGCCGAAGCAGACACTGAGGTTACATCTGCTTTATTCTTGAGTGTTTTGTACTGGAAAATGTCTGAAGCAAAGGTTTTAGTGTGGTCAGGGTCTTTATGTTAATGTAAGAATTGCCTGGTGTGCCGTGCTCTTCACCTGATCGCTTTGATCAAGTGGCACTATTGCTGGGCATAGACCGCACGTATCTTCAGAAATAAAACAGAGACGTCTTTGTATTGAGTTGTAATATGAGTCCCAAACCAAATATCTCTCCCCAGTGCTTTGGAGTCGGGAGTCTTTGTTCTGACGCTGTCGCATTTGATCAAGTAAGAAGAGGTGCTAAGGCAACTTCCTCATTGGTTTCCTTTTAATTGTAAACCTGGCTTTCTCCCAGTGCTGAGCAAACTGGCGCGAGGTGTTGGCGCAGAAGGGACACTGGAAGGATTCACCTCTCTCTGAGTGCTGGTGTTGTTGTTGTTGTCCCTTAGGTTTCTACTGCTGAAAGTTTCATGGGGGAGGCTTTAAGGGCTGAAAAGACCTTTGTGGCATTTATAGCGCAAGTCTTGTTTATATGCAGTCCTTAGCTAAACCGTAGTAATGTGTTGGTTGATACAAACGTGGGTAGGAACAAAACCTTAATGGTTGTTTCTGCAGCTATTTTTTGCTTGCTTCAGTTGCATGAATTCAGCCTGGTATGACCAAATTGGGGATAATTCATGAGGACCCCTGCAGCTTTCCCTGCCTCTGGTTCAGAAGTTAACCATATAGGGGTGGAGGAAGGCTTATTTTGCTGAAACAGATCATAGCCCATACCATAGAAGAAATTTCATCTCCAGCAGCAAGCTGTATTTTTCAGTTAAGGCAGTTCTTGTGGTGGAGAGGTTTGGTTCTTTATAATACAAAGGAGATCTTTATGTTTTGTATAAGTGCTCTTTAGCAGATCAGAGTAATGCTCAACTGACTTGTCAGCTACTGAAGCTTTAAAAAGAAGGGGAGGAGCGTGTTATGGAGGGCAAACTGGCTTTGGAAGCATTAGTGAAATGCAAATAAATGGAGTTCAATCATTAAGTGTGTGTTGAAGAATAATAGTAGCTTAGAGCCAGCCAAAATGGCTTTAAACTGCTTGCATGTTAACAAATATTCAGGTAGACTGTGGAATCATGTTGGACTTCTGTTTGCAAATGACTTTAGTTGTCAAGATAGTGTCTGCAGGTGTTTGGATACCGGTCTTGGTCTGCTATCTAATATGTTCATAGGAACGGAGATAGCACTTGCTATTGCTGCTGCTGTTTGAAGTCTGGCATTCTGCATCTTTTCTCCTTGTGTGAATTTGACTGGAATTAGCAATATTTGTCTACGCTTTCTTCATAGACATTCATATGCTGTTTTCATAGAAGTGTTTCATAGAACTTTTGCTTCGGTTTCATATGCTGTAAAGAAAAGCTGTGGAGGCAAATGAGTTAAAAAGTGAGTGCCTCAAATAACATTATGAAGATCATTTTCCAAAAGAATTTTTCTTGTCTTGCCACTGTTTGCTCCTCAGTTCTTGCATCCATCACAAGTTTTTGAACTACAAATGGTTGACTTGCTATTTGTTACAAGTATTTTTAATGTACATACTTGTGAATGGATTCTGATGGTCACTGACACAACAAATGTAGTTTGTTTAACTGTGGCAAGGAGTAGATAGAGATGTGAAGGTGTTTGCTCTTCAAGCAGAGGCAAGAGTTGACAGGAGGTGCCAGCTATGCGTGCTTTGTTAGTCAGTTTTATCCTGATTAAATATTTTACTCTGACTTGGGGAAAAAAAACCCATGCCGTTACTAAGTCTGTGCATAGCTGCCTTCCCAGAGTAATTGTTGAAGAGTGGAACTGAAGGATTGTAAAGGTTGGATTTTGCTGCAGAGCAGTCTCTGAAGTCCCTTCAATCCTTTTCATTTTAGCACTGAAATCACATCCCCACAAAGTGATTATTTTCATGCTGTATAGAAAAATTTAGCTGAGTGTAATATAAGTGTAATATAATCCAAAACAGCAAATAGAGTGTCTTTTTTTTTTTTTTTTTTTCTCCTGGCTGGAATGTGATTATTGCATTATGTTATTGTAGGGAAACTATCCCAAAATTGGTGGGGAGAAATTGATGTTTGTACAGTATCAGTCTTCTATGTATTTCTTCAAAATCCCAGCTGCTGGAGTCTTGTGTCTTCTAGGAATCCTAATTATTTGTTCTTCTCTCCCTGCTCCAAGTACCAGGTGTTTAAAAACAACTGAATCTTTAGGCTTAAAAGCTTGAGAATAAGTCATGACTCTGAGACGTGACACTGGCCTGACTTCCCGTGATTCCTTTCAGTTCTCACTTGTGACTTGTCAAGAGTCCAAAAGCTTTGGTAAGAGTGATGTTGCAGAAATACAGTCTAATCATTTTTTTAAGAGCTCACTTATGTAATTAAGTGGTATCATCCCGCTGTGTAGTTTGAATGGCCTAGCCATTTAATCATGAATTTGCTAGTCATCTAAAGACGAGATGTGCTTTCTTTACAGGAGAAAGCATTGTTGTAATGAACCGAAGCTCAGCTGTCATAATCAATAGGTTTCTTAATCACCATGTTCAAGTATTTTTGAGCTGATGCTGGAGAGGCAGTAAACATGATGGCTAAAATGCTTGTTCATCCCTTGTCAGCATAATGTGAATCAGCAGCTATTAGCTGCTCCAGGCATTCATCTGTAACGTAACTTCATTTCCTTAAAAGGCGAGGTAGCTGGGGGCAGGCACACGGCTAGAAAGCTTTGGAAAACAGCTTTTGCACTGTATTTTGAATAAGCTGTCTCTTATCCAAACAGTCTCCCTTTACTAGTAGGGAATGATAGTTGTCTCTCTATGTACCACATCTGTGGATGGCAGGATTTTTTTTAATAGAGTAAAATAAATGTAAATGTCTGCTGTAAGGGAACTGAGGGAAGTAAACGAGCTGCTTAAAGTTACTCAGTACATCAGCATAGGAGTCAGGAGTAGCACTCAGACTTTGCTTTTCAAGATTTGTTTTTCTTTTTCTGGTAGACAGTGCCTTTTTTTTCCCCTCAGCTATTCAGGAGTTTAAGGTATTCTAAGAATACAGGTAAGTTAGAAGTATGGTGGTTGCTCAGCAGGTGTTTGTCTACTGCATGATGAGTTAGCCTGTTAGTGTAATGGTGGTAATGATCACAGCAGGAATTGCATCTGGGTGCCCAAGTTCAGCCAGCTGTGATAATGCTGACAGTAAGGGCACCCTCCCTGAGCTCTGCTGCAGAGGAGGTGTACTCACTGCTTTCTTGTATCCTCAGGAGATTTACTTGTGTGCTACTGAAAGTTCATGTTGTTATTGCAGAGGATTGAGATCCAGCATGCTGTTGGTGAACAGCTACTGTCTAAGTAAGGAGTAAGGAACAGGCTTTCGTTTACTGGTTAGTAAATTGAGTAACGCTTGGTTGGACAATTGACAGGAAATGTAGCTCAAGGTCTTGAGATGGAAAAAGAAAACTCAAACCCTTACCTGTGCACACATCAGTGGTAGAACAGTGTAACTGATATTTGAGTCTACAAATAAAAGGTTAGCCTTTTTTTATTATTATTATTTTTTTTTATTTAGGAATCTCTGAAATGTGGTTACTGACTAACAGGAAAAAATAAGAGACTGTTGCTCTTTAAAAGAAAGCAGTGACTTGCTAGGAGGCAACTTCTGTAACTAATTTATTTTTTGCTAGTGCTACTTCTATCTTTGTAGACAGTGTAGACAGTGCTACTTCTGTCTTTGTAAGACAGAAGAACCACATGTCAGAGCTGGTTTATTACCCACTTGCTATTAAGTGTATTGCAGTTGATGGTTGCAAAGTACAGTTTTGTGTTTTGTTTGGCAGAGAGTCTTTCACAGATGATCACCAGGCTTGGATGCTTTCTAGACTTCCTCAAATCCAGATTCCTCTGGATTCCCATTCTTGTTGGTAAGAATTAAACATGGGATTTTCTGTGTCTTTAGATTTCTCAGCGCAGACCTTCTGAATAGGAAAAGGCACAGCCACTGTTTCTTTACATGAGTTTGCACTCTCAAGCCTCTGTCTCTCTGTTCTAAGTGCCGTTTTAGTATTTTTTTGGGCCTTTTCCCTTAAAGAGCCTGAGAGCCTATGGAGCTCACTTGTATGACTCATTCATTTTTTCTAGTTGTGAATTTTCTTCTGATGCTGCCAACTTCAGCTGGTCTGACATTCAAAACATTTGCTTTAGCTGTGAAGCATAGATAGCCCTTTGTATGGTGAAACGTCTCACCTTTCTCTTTCTGGAGTTTGTGGTGTTTGAATACAAACTGAAAAATGCTGCATTTATTTACCAGGGTGATAGCTGTGATGTTGTTGTTGCAAGTTACTTTGTAGTGAAGTTCCTGGCATCTGTTGCAGACAGGTGGAGACTTCCAGCTGTTATTTTTGTCTTCTCTGTCCAGAAAGAATGATGCAAGTATATAGTAGAACAGAAAAACAATGAGATAACATCTGTTCTCTACATTTATAGCTAAGTCAACAAAAAGCTTGGTTTTAAACTATACAACATCTGGGGGGTTTCCTATGTGTGTAACATGCAAGATACTCTGCTGAAATCTCCATTTAAAGGTTAAAGAAATTATTGTTATTAAAAGCAGTGAATTGATATTATGTTTATTATTTTAGTCAATTTAGTTGGTCTTTAACAAAGAATCATCAAGATTGGGAAAAGACCTCTAAGATCCCCCAGTCCAACCACCAGCCCACCCCCACCACACCACTGCTCACGTCCCTCAGTGCCACATCCACACGGCTCCTGAACACCTCCAGGGACGGTGACTGCACCACCTCCACGGGCAGCCTGTGCCTGCCTTTCAGTGAAGTGCTTCCTAATATCCAACCTAAACCACCCTTGGCACAACTTGAGGCTGTCACCTCTTGTTTTGTCAGTTATCTGGAAGAAGAGGCTGATTCCCACTTCACCACAGCCTCCATTTAGGTAATTGTAGAGAATGATGAGGTCTCCTCTTCTCTGGATTAAGTTCCTTTAGCTGTTTCTCATAAGACCTGGATTCTAGACTCTCTACCAGCTTTGTTGCCCTTCTTTGAACTCAAGGTCAGCACTTCTATGTTTTTTTTTTTTTTTTTTTTTTTTTTTGTAGTAAGGGGGCCCAAAACTGCACACAGTATTTGAGGTACAGCCCCATTGGTGCCCAGCACAGAGGGATGGTCTTCTCCCTGCTCCTGCTGGCTGCGCTGTTTCTGTTTCAGGCCAGGATACTGCTGTCTTTCTCAGTCACCAGGGCACACTGCTGGCTTGCGTTCAGCTGGCTGTTGACCAATAAACCCACATTCTTCATGTAGCTTGCCAGCCACTCTACCCCAGGCCTGTGATGTTGCATGGGATCATGACCAAAGTTCAGGACCTGTCATTTGGTCTTGTTGAACCTTGCACGGTTGGCCTCAGCCTATCCAAATCCCTCTGTAGAACCTTCCTCCCTTAAAGCAGGTGATTCTCTATATTTGGCACTTGTTATAAATAAAATACTTTGGATAGAGCGTGGATGTTTGAGAAATTCTCTGCAGGAAAGCTGCAGGGAGGAATTTTGGTCATTGTTCAGTGGGTGTTTGGATGAGTGTTGGAGGTGAGGATTGCTGCTGATCACTGCTGTTAAGATCTGCAGTGAGCTAACAGGTGGTATTTTATTATTTTAAGGCTTTGGATGGTGTCTTGAGATCCACATCTTATTCCTATTACTTTTGATTAGTAATGGAGCTTTCCTGTTAGAGTGGGATTTCTGTTTATCTTCTTTGTTTGCAACTACGACCGACTTGGTCATTATGGCATGCTTAATCTTGAAGCAGTTGTTTTGCTCTGCTGCGAGCGTATAGAGTTAAGATGGTTTCTGCTCATGTTTTTGTCAGCTTCAGCGACAACTTGATGCTTCAGAGCTTCCTTCACCTCAGGTACAACACTTCCCTTGTTGACCACAAGATGTTAATTTGAATGCAAGCTCTGCATGTTGTACAGCTGAGCATGAAAGTTAATCTACTTTGTGCCAGGTCTTTGTGTGTGGATGAGAAATTTTCTTCTGGTATAATGTTTCCACTCTGAGCCTATCTATTCCAAGATAGTATTATCTATTATGTTCCTTCTGTAACTTAGCAACGGTAGTTCCTTATATTTTGATGTGGGACTCAGCCATAGCGATTATCATCTTTGGAATATATGTACACTAGTGTCAAATGGAGGACATCTCTTGGTTTTCCTGAAGATCTGCCCTTAAGTGACTCCTAACTTCCTTCCCTAGCAGGGTCTCCTTCAGAGGATTATCTGACTGGCCTGCCTCATTCTGCCATCAGCTAGGAGTTCAGAATCACAAGGTTGGAAAGGACCTACAAGATCATCCAGTCCAAAGGAGGAGTAACTTCTAGTTGTAAGCGATCAGATGAGCACGCTTGAAGTCTCAGATTATTTGAAGTACCTTACTTTGCATTTACCTCCATATTAGTGATATAAATTAACTAATAACTTGAAATGCACGATGAAATGAGATCAGTTATTTCTACTGATGGAAATCCTGTTCTGATATCTACGTTACGTATTCAAACAAATTTATATTCCTCTTCTTCGTATTGTTGATAGTGCTAATTAAGAGACCAAGTATTTTATATGTCCTTTGAAAATAAAGATGTATGCTTAATTGATTAAAAGTAGGGATGTCTAAACCTGCTGAAGATACGTTGATTTTACAGGTACCCATTCTTCATAGTTTTCCTATGCTAGTAGGGGTGAGATAAATCAGCTCATCTTCACTTGGAAGCAGAATGAAGTATTGTAACCTGTGCTTAGGAGACAATATTTTTGCCCTTAAGCAAAGCGTTTTTCTCCCAGTCACTGACAAAGAGTGGAAGCTTGATAATAATGTGCTTGGTTGTATCCTTAAAGTAGAACTTGATTCATTCAGCTCTAGTTTTCTGTCAGGTAGTTCTTATACTAGCACGTGTCATGGGCCCTTTTTCTTTCCTTCAAGTCTGAGCTTCTTAGGTGTTCAGAGTTTGACGTGAGAGGGATTTGAGGAATGCCTTTGTACTCACAGTTCTAGTTTTCCTCCACTAAATTAAGATTTGTATTGAACTTCTGCATTGTTTCATCTTTAATCTTCTCAGCCTGCATTGTAAGGGCTACTTCAAGTTTTGGAAGGTCTGTTGGGATTCTTATCTCCCAATGGTATTTAAGATGTTCCATACAGCAATACTTACGGTTCTTGGCATCTTTTGCCCTGTGCAAAAGCAGTTGTTAGTTGATGCTCACTTAATGAACGGTGATTTGAATATATGGTCATCTGCAGACTTGATGTAATTTTATGATTTATCTTTGCCTGCCTCTAATTTTCCTTCCTTAAGTGTTCATTTTGAAATAAAGATAGTGTGATTACTGCCACTGGGCACCTGTATCGAGATGAAAAAAGCCTGTGAGGGTCTTTCCTAGGGGAAGAGTGGTGGAACAAGATTGCAAGTCACAAAGCTTCTAAATTACAACTGAATTACTGTCTCCAAACCTTTCACCTTGTCAGTCTATCCATAAATGGGATTAATTTTAAGTAATTTCTAAAGTCTCCAGGAGAATAGATGAACACGAAACAGTTCATAGAAGTACAGAGTTTTTTGCTGTTGTTTCTGTGGGTGTTTGTAGAACGTATTTATAGACATGGATACAGTGGAAAATCAAGTTGCCTGTCATGACGAGCTGTGATAAATGTGAGATCATGCCTTTATTGCACAACTAGAAAACAGAATTAGGACACTTGTAAATCTGGCCTTTGTCAGCACCTCCCTGAGGTGTGACAGCTCTAGTGGTTACATCTTTCCCTTTCATATTTGATACTTGTTTTCATTCAGACTTTTGGTTCTTTTCCTCTTGATTTCTCCCTTTACTGTGTACAACCGTTACTAGGTTTCACAAAGAAGCCAAAATTAGTGTTTTGGTTATTCGAAGACTCTTTAAAATTTTGAAATGCTTAATGAAATGCTGCATGTTATACTTGGATGTCTCAAACTTTTATATCCTGTTTAAAGGGACCACACTTCAAGTGCTGTGCTCATTTTTGATCCCGTCATTACAAGAAAGACGTGGAAGCCCTGGAGCGTGTCCAGAGAAGGGCAGTGAAGCTGTGAGGGGTCTGTAGCACAAGTCTGATGGGGAGTGGCTGAGGGAGCTGGGGTCATTCAGTCTGGAAAATAAGAGGCTCAGGGAAGGGCCTCATGGTTCTCTACAGCCACCTGAAAGGATATTGTGGCGAGGTGGGGGTCAGCCTCTTCTTCCAGGTGACAGCGACAGGATGAGGAAAGAATGGCCTCAGTTTGCATCAGGCAAGGTTCGGGTTGGAAATCAGGCAATACTACTTCTCCAAGAGAGAGGTGAGGAAGTGGCACAGGCTGCCCAGGGAGGTGGTGAAGTCACCAACCTTGGAGGTGTTTAAGAAACATTTAGATGCTGTATTGAGGGACATGTTTAGTGGCAAACATTGGTGGACAGTTAGACTGGAAGATCTTAGATGTCTTTTTCAACCTTGGTGATTCTGTTGTCAAATATTCTTATTCTTTCACTATAGAAGAAACTGAAGGAAGTTTTGGGCTTTTTTTCCCCCCCCTTTGGCAACAACAACTTTAGAAGTTTAGTATCAGTGCTTTCAGTAGGCTGCTCAGGGTTTGGAAAATGTGTTGCATGCCTTGTAGGGATGAAGTGAGATAGGTTCAGCTGTCTACAGCACACGTATAAGCTGCTGTTCCTTTTAGCCTTCCAAGCTATGGAGGTGTGGTGAGCCGAATGGGATTTTGGAATGCATTATCTTACGAAGGAGAACCTGGGAGCAGTGTATTTGATGTGTGGACTATCTATCTGAGGGTTGGGAGGGCTTGAAGGAAAAAAAGGTAAAGAATGTCTATAGGACTGCTGGAACTGCAGTTGAACTCATTAGGAGTTTTGCCTAAATATTCATCCTAAAATAGGTCGTTAACTTTTAACATTTCTGTGTCCCCCACCACACTGGATTTAATATTCCATCTTGTAGTAGTTCCTCTTTTCAGTATTTATTTCTGGTACGAATACAGTTAATTTTTTTGTTTTTTTTTTTTTTTAAAACTATATGTGCTGTAATATTTGAAGATAAGAATATCATTAACTTTTACAGTTCAGCTGTGATGTTTACTTAAACCAAAGCCTGTAGTCATTCATTAGGTGTATATAGAGAGAGATATAAAGCTTAATGAGCGTGGGTTTTTTTGTTGGGTGTTTTTTTTTTTTTGTTTGTTTGTTTGTTTTACTTTTAGAAGTAATTTCCTTAGGATTAACTACTCATGGTATAGCTGTTGCTAAGTGGGAAAACATGAGGTGTGTGTGACTTTTCTTGGGACTTATATTTTCACATAATAAAATTCTGTATCTTTGGGAAGATGCCCCCAAATTGACTTCCTTTCTTAGTCAAGTCACAAACTGTAGGGTTTTGGTGGTTTTTTTTTTTTTTTTTTGTGAAGTTGAGTGTACAATATTCCATTGCAGATGGTGAAGTACAAATAATGCTGATAGTCTGTATCTGGAGTGGTGCTATCCTGCCGTTGCAACCTGGAAAATGTTGAGTGGGGGATCTCTTCTTTCTGTTCAAAAGATAACAAAAACAGTTTGCTTTCTATGAAAGTAACAAGCAGTAAATAACCACAAGTATAGCTGGCAGGGTGCTCTTTTTTGTTTGTTTGTTTGTTTTCCCCATTATGTTTAAAAGTACTCACGTCCTTTTTCTCCCTTTTGGAGTTGTGAAAGTTTCCCATATCTAAAAACTGTAGATTTGCATTTGCTACAGTTTTGTTGTTGCTGAGAGCTGGCATATCATAACTGTTGAGCAATGCAATGGTTGGGTAGTCCTGTGTCAGCAACTGTGTTCGGTTACAGTTACTACAGTATTCTAGTGGGTAGAATAGTCCAGTGGAATGGAAGTGCTTGGTTGTTAATGTATGTTACTGGGAGCTGAGGTACATTTTCCTTGTACATAACCAGTTCCAAATCCAGCTATGGTGCTTCTTGACCAAGCTTTGGATTTGAAATGCTTTGTATTGGTTTGCTTGTTGTTGTTCTGTTGTGTTTTTGTGGTTTTTTTTTCTTTTTAACTTGAAGGCTCGTTCCAGAGACAGTAGGAATTGGGAAATAAGATGTGAGGATTAGTCTTGATAATGCTATTGAACTTAGCGTACTCTAATAGGGCTGGCTTCTCCCTAGCTCTACATCTCTCAAACTCTAGGAGTTCAGGAATAGCTTTGGGACAGTTATGAGTTCATTTCCAAGTTTTAAAAATTTTAGCACTTTCATTGTTATTTATTGTCCAATAAATACTATTCTTTCAGGACTTCACTTTATCATAAGAGCAGTCTGTTGCCGGGTGACCAGGGTGACCAGAATCATCTTCACTGCTTCAATATGAAAGCAAACTTTTGAGGAACATGATTAAAATAGTGATGAGCAGAAAGAAGGTTATGGAAGTAGAGGGGAGTAGTCTGTGGTCTGCATTAGAGAATTAAGACAGGTGGAAAATAAGAGGACTAATATGCTTAAAAAAATGAAGTACCTGCTAGAGACAAAGTAACTTCTAGCAATGATTAACTGTTTTAGCAGGCCAGCTACTTTTGAAATAAGGTGAAACGAATATTTTTGCTTGTACTGTAATCAGTAAACAGAAGTAGCTTACATAATATCTTGCTGAATGGATCTGGGTTTTATTTCTCTTGACATTTTCATAGTGTTGGAGTCAGAATATAACGATAATTATTTGAGCATTAATTTGTAGGTCTTAAGTGTTATGGTCAAGTTGTTACGCTTAAGGATTTGCTGTGGGGTAAATGGTTCTCTGTCCTTGAGGTCACATGAAAAATTGTATTTTTGTCTGTGCATCTACTAAACCAGTATTTAAGGTATATACATAAGGGTTTGGATGCTTGAAATGTTCATACAAATGCGTTGTCTTGTGAAATACTAAATATTAAGCTCATTCTTGCAGTGAATTAGTACAGGCAACATATGTTCAGCAGTTTTCCTTGAGTTCTTGTATCATCAGTAGGTTCCTGCTTGAAGTGATTTTCATGTGTACAATTTGTTTTTCTTTCTCCAGATTGGAAGAATAGAAGCATGCTTTCCACTGAGACTTGCACTAACATTTGTGATACAGAATGTCTCTAAGTGAGAAGAACAGCGTGGTTTTTGCATACGAGTCTTCAATACATAGTACCAATGTACTTCTCAGTCTCGATGATCAGAGAAAGCAAGATATTCTTTGTGATGTCACTATTTTAGTGGAAGACCAGCGATTTCGGGCTCACAAAGCTGTGCTTGCAGCTTGCAGTAGTTACTTCCTTTCAAGAATTGTGGGCCAATTGGATGCTGATCTTATCATCACTTTACCAGAAGAGGTGAGTGTTGCTTGCATCTGTATTGTACCTACCCCTACTACTGGTCCATTTTGTTCAACTCTGTTTTACAATAAACTGGCGCTTAATAGAGATTATCAGTAAAGAGAAGAGAGTTAAGAGCCGAGGGGAAGAAATTTCTGAGCTGTAAAGCTGTTGCTGATTGAGGTAAAGACTGGGCACAGCAGAGTGAATATCACAGACTGAAGATGAATGAATGCTCTCCTGGGAATATTGTAGGGTAGATGTGTTCAATAAGGTGTTTCTTACTCTCAAAATAGTGCACTATGTTCTAAGCATGTAAGTTTGTCCAAAAAAAAAAAAGCTGTATAACATGGGCTTCAAACAGTAAAGAGATACTAGTCATCCCATGCAAGAAAGGAATATTTTAGGAATAATAAGCAGATTAATGGTACTGCCATTTTAATTTTGCAATTAGTGTCATCAAGGCTTATTTTAAAAATGTTTGAGGAATACAGCTGTGCTTGTATTCCTTTCTTGCAGCTTATTGTTGACTTTCTTCAGTTCTTATCCTTTTTGTACACTCATTGTTAGAAGCTTGATCTCTTTTTCTGCTGTATTTATACTTTAAAGCCAGGGACAATTGCTTGCTTTTTCACCTTAAATAAATCCTTTTTAAATCAGATTGAATTTAAGGCATTTAGGGAGAATGAGCCAGAACCCATGATGCATAGAAAAGCAATTTGGTTATCAGTTATCTGAAGCATCCAAGACATTTAAAGATTCCAGTTGGTATTTAGTTGAAAGCATTTTAAATACTTAAATGCCATCTGAAATCTTTAAGTGTTATGAGGCAAACAAATGTTTATATGAAACAGTGTGCTTGTAAATGAAAAGTCAAGAGCCTCCAAGTACTCTATGCCCAGAAGCAGCAGGAAGCTGAAGAACTGGTACATTATCAGCAACTTTCTGGGAGGCTGTTTCTGGTAAACAGCTTGAGAAGGGAGTTAAAAATAACACAAAAATTATTGGCAAGTCATCTAGAATCATTAAAGCCAGGAGGAAGGGTACGTGACAACGAATACCTGCAGTGCTGTCACTTCAGCGATTTGTTTGTGTACAAGCCTAAGTTGAATGCTATCTTAACATAATGATGTATTCAGAAAGCCTTTATCTTCTTAAAATAGCTCCTTCACTGCTTTGTAGTAGATAAACACAAGGATTCTCTGCAACCAAAATATCTGATTTTATAAAAAACTGAAAATCGAAAGATCAGCTCTTCTAAAGAGCTTCCCTGGTCTTTGCTGTTCTGTGATGAATACGCTACAAACTGGTGTTATGCCATGGTAACGTTATGTCAGCTTTATTCATTCTCCTCCTTTCTCTGTATGTTCATTTCTTCTTCCTTCTCTTCTTTATGGTGGCTTAGTATGTTGTTAGCCTGAGCGTCTGCCAGACTAAAAGAAGTGAGATGGTAAGAGCTGTTGTGGAAGGGAAATAAGGTGATAAGAGACACAAAGCTGTCATTTGGAGTAAAAGAGATTAGAGACATGTAAAAAAAATAAAACTTTTGAAACGATACAAAAGTAGGATATTGGAAGAATAAGAGATTTGGCAGGGAAAAATCTTGTGAAAAGCACTGGTGTTCCACTAAACCTGAGCTAGGAGCGGACCAGAGTTGTAAACAAAATGGGGGAACATAATAACACTGATAGTCTGAGTGAGACAAGTCCTCTTAAGTCTACAACTTAATGACATTGTCTAGTGTTACTGGTGTGAAAGCTGAATATGCTATAAGAACAAGCAAAAATACCATCAGGGTATCTTATTTTCTAATAATTTGATCCCATCGTTTGGTAAAAACACTTTGAGAAATTGGAGCTTGTCTTCTGGAAACTGCTAAATGTTTTGAAATGAGTCAGTTTATGAAGCTGCATGCTTGAGAGGGACAAATAAATACTAATTGGCTTGGCAATTTCTTAAGCCTTTTGATCATCCAAAGTTTTTGAAGTTTAAAATAAAAGATGCCAGTCCAAAACGTGAAATACCCAAATATTTAGATATTAATTTGTCTCATATACATCAAAGCTAACTGGTGACACCTTGCTGTCAGTTACTTCTATTGTTTTCCTACTGAAGTTTTTACACTGGGAAATTAGACTGTCATCAGCAATACAGATGAAATAAATGGCTCCTGCCAGACTTCTCTTTAGTCAGACCAGGAATCTTTCCAGTGATTCATCATGTTTGAGGACAGATAGCTAGAAATACATAGGAGAAAATATGAGGAGCACAGTGTTTTGCTTTTTTTTTTTTTTCTCTTTCCATTTTTTAGCAAGGAGTATTCCCTGGTAAATGAAAAATGTACAATTTCGAAACGTGTTTGTTTTGTTTAATTTTATGTATGAATGTATTTATAAATATAGATGTATTTTATATATATATATTTATATATATAGATGTATTTATAAATAAATCAGATTTATTGGTTGTATTAGGTTTGAAGATGTGCTTGCAAGCACATAGATAAACTGATTTCCTATTCATTTTTTTATTAAAGATGAATTAAGAATACTGATCAGATCACTGCATTTCTCTAGGGTATATTTGAAACATTACTTTAAGAATTCTTTAGGTTTAAGAGTTTTTGCTAAGCTGTCTCTGTAGATCACTTCAACTGCCTTTTAATTGTTATTTCCATGTTTTTCTTTAAAGACAAAAAGCCCAGCATGTGTGCTTGAGCTTCAGTAGTAGTAATAATGGATATACTCCTTCATTTTTTCACTTGCAAAAGGAAGTAGCACACAACTTCTAGTACAATAGACTGTTTACGCTTTCCTACCTGCTTTCTTAGTAATTTTTCCAAAGAAAAGCAGTGTTGTTTATCTTTGAATTCCCTTTTAGGGAACTGCTCTGCAGTAGAAGCTAAGAGATAATGATGGAACTGTTCCAAAAAGCCTACCTACTCCAAAGAAACTGTAGCTGCTGTTGGCATGGGGTTTTGAGTATACTTTTCTTTTTGTCCATGAGTGGAAGAAAGGAGTAGATGGCTACAGTACTAAATAGTCATGAGCGGTCAAATTCAATTACTTTAGAGTTCTTTGTATCAGTGATGCATGAAACTGAGCAAATAGCAGTAATTGCTCTTTAAGGGAATGATTCATGCCAGCAGCGCTTTGATCTTGCTCAGGAGTCATTCACGTGTAATTTCTCTATGGAAGTTATCTTTATAAAATTTGAGTCCCGTTCCTGGTTTTCAGAGGACAGTAATATTTTTCACATTTTAGTACTGTATTATGAGAGTTGTTTAGGAGATTCTTCACACTGAAGAAGATAATTGCCATAAAATATAGAGGATAGAATTATTTCTTATTTGCGTCACAATGAGTGTGGCCAGATTTCCTTTCTGGATCAAATCTGCGCCTTGTCTCTTGTTCTCTGTCCTGATGGAGCGACTTTCTGACTGCAGGATGTGAGTTCTGGCAGTTTAAATCCACGTATGTGTAGGGGTTTAACTAGAAACTTGGCAACCTAACTAGTACCCAGTGAAACAGAAGTGGCTGGTTGGGGCCCTTTTCTTTTTGATGTGGTGTTCTCTGGTAAATGGGAAGCAAGAGGGTTTCACCAAGCAGGAAGTTGGCCATGCTAATTTTCTTTTTTTTTTTTTTTTTTTTTGTAGGTAACACTTAAAGGATTTAGTCCTTTGCTTCAGTTTGCATACACAGCTAAACTTATTTTAAATAAAGATAACGTATCTGAAGTCTGCAAGTGTGCTGAATTCTTGGGCGTACGGAACATTGAAGAGTCTTGCTTTCAGTTTCTCAAATTCAAATTTTTGGACTGTAAATCAGAACAGGAATGTCCCAGGAAGAAATGCTGCACACAGCATTGTAGGGAAGTAAACCCTAAAATTAGCAACGCAGATGATGGAGACCTAGAAATAGACGATGAAGCAGAAGAACTTCTAGAAAAAGAATATATTCAAACCTCACATACAAAGCTCTGTAAAGATGATGAAAATGCAAAAGCGTCACCTGCCCTTCAAGATAACACCAACCCAACCTCAGATCTTATGCATTTAGAAAAAGGTAATGTTTCCAGCTCATCTTCCCAGTGCCCCAAGTATAGGAAATTCCAGAAAGCTTTTGGAAATGACAAAGTTCATACTTCAGATTCCAGTTCCAGTACTAAAGACGTCCAGGTGCCACCAATTGTAACTTTTATTGAGAAAGAAATACCTGATAATGACAGCACACCAAAAGCTCAGGAGTGTGTACCTCTGCAGCTGGCCTCAAAGTGTGAAGAGACTCAGGTGAAAATGGAAGAAGGGGAGGAGGAAGACATCGAGAAAAAAGAATCGAAGAGAGATTCTGTGACTCAAAGCGTCTCGTGTCCTGTGGAGAAAACGGATGTTGCTGCTTTCCCCCAAAACACTGCTACGCCTCATGGACTTAATTCTGTGTCTTTTTTACGTACTTGTGAGCAATATGGTAACTTAAATTTCAGTTGTATGCAAAGCACCACAATCTTACCTGAAAAAACTGCAGCAGGTACCGGAGCTGAGAGTGAGAAAATGGAAAGTCACGACAATGTAACTTTAAAGGTTGATTTGTGTGCTAGGGAAGCCATTAACATTACATCAACTGGTGATCGGAGCAGTGTAGAGAGAGAGGTAGCAGAACATCTAGCAAAAGGGTTCTGGAGCGATATTTACAGTACAGAAGCCTGTCAAATCCATTTACCATCTGCAGTGCCAAAAGAACGCTTGGAGCCTGTGTATTCAGGGAAGAAATCAGAGTGTCCGTGGCTGGGAATCAGGATCAGTGAAAGTCCTGAACCTTGCTCTCAACGAACTTTTACGACGTTGAATTCTGTCAACTGCCCCTTCATAAGCAATCTTAGTACTGAAGGATGCTCCAACAGCTCTGAAATAAGCACTGGAGATTATGTTCAAGGGCAACAGCAAGAACAATGTCCCTATAATTATGTGATAAGTTTGGGGGAGGATTCAGAAACTGATACTGAGGGAGACAGTGAATCCTGTTCAGCTAGAGAACAGGAATGTGAGGTAAGAACATTCTTGTTATCCTTTACTTCCCTGTCTCTTAAGGCCCTTCTCAGAAATCTGGTTCTCCAGTCTTGTTTCATTACTCGTTTTAAAACCTTGGGAAATGGAAATTCAAATAAACATTTGAAGGCTTACATGGAAGAAAACTGTTAATTCAAGGAGACTTAAAATATTTTGCAGGACATTGAAGTGATAGATGGTTAGGTGTTAGATCTCTTCAGATATTTCTGGAATAACCTTATGATAAAGTTTTGTCTTTTAAATCAAGTACTGTGAACTCTTTTTTTTTTTTTTTTTAGGGTTTTTTATTTTTTTTTTGTCTACTTGGGTTAAAGTTCTAATTTTCATAGTGTGTTTTATAGAAACTTAAACATGTTCTTGATTTTCTTCAGACTTGAGAAGGTGGGAGGGAAATAACACTTCACGTTACCTGCAAAATGAAAAGCAAGTTTTCAAGCTGGCAACAGTAGCTGTGCATTTAAGAGCATTTTAACAGCATCACTTTCTCTGGAACTTAGGTTGTATTTGTTCTCTCCAAACGCAGAAAATGTTTGGTACTTCTTTCCTACATGTCATTGCTTTTAGTAGGATTTTAGACAGATGTCCTAAGTAGTCAAACACAGAGTGGTTCTATTGTGTGTATAAAATGACTTCAGTAGTGGTTCCTAGAATTGCAGAATTGCAGTGTGACTCTTTTTACTGTGGGACATTGAAGGGGCTTTTATTGTAAATGGAAGCAACAATTCCTCTAGGAGGTTGGCAGGTTAAATAATGGGCCAGGATAGGCTTAAAAGCACTTCTCTTCTTTACATTATGAAGTAAATAGCAGTGAAGGCAGTACTGTTCCCTGTGGATTACCAGCGATAGGCAAACACAAAAAGGAAATTTTTTGTTTACTTTCCAAACTAATTTCAGATCTTTGACCACAGTAAGAGAATAAATGTTGCTCCTTAATTTAGTCCAGTTTAGAGGTTGTAATGGTGTCTTTAACTGTATACTTAAAAATAATAATTATTATTTGTAGAGTTAAAGATGGTTTTCAGTATTTATCAGAGCTGTATGATCTCTGTGTGTTTCTGCAGCTCTTGCTTCTGTAGCTCAGGTGTACGTTCAGTAGCAGCAGCATTAAAGAATATAAAACAAGTGCCAGCTGCCAGTAACTTCTGTGTTAAGTACATACCTATTTCACGTGAGCTTTTCCTGCAGAAAACCTAAGGTATAAAAGTATACAGAATGCAGGCTTAGCAAGTTGGAGGGAACTTCAGGGTGCATTAGTGATTCTTGACCCCTATTTTATTTGCCTCCTAACCGTAACTTACTTGCCTAGAACATATCACTGAAATGATTCCCTGTACACAGGGATAGATTTCATCCTACTTGAATTTTAAGCTTTTGATGATACAGTGTAAATATGCAGAGTACTCCATTATTTTGCCCATGCTTGAGTTCATCTGCTTGAAGCTCCCACATCTTATCTAGCTCCCCGATAGCTCTTGTAGCTTGCTTTTGTTTCTGAGATGTAGGGGTAAGGTGTTTTGCTAAAGTGTGCTTAAATCATCTCAAGTCTAACTTTTGTTGGAGTATGTGGTTATCAGTTTCACCTTTGGCTTATATTTGTATCTTACATTCTAGGTAAAACTGCCATTTAATGCACAAAGGATTATCTCCCTTTCCAGAAATGACTTTCAGTCATTTCTGAAAATGCATAAATTAACCCCTGAGCAATTGGACTGTATTCATGATATTCGAAGACGAAGTAAAAATAGAATTGCAGCGCAGCGATGTCGTAAGAGAAAACTTGACTGCATACAAAATCTCGAATCTGAAATTGAGAAACTGGTATGTATGAATATCATGATTTGCATGACTTCTGTCTTTCTTTAAATGTGTTTGCTGGATATCTGCCAGGGGCTTGGTAGTGAGGCAGCTTGTTACTGTATCCACTGAAGCTCAGAGAACAGTCTTAAACAGATGACTTGTTGATAGAAGTTCTGGATTTACTGTACATTCAGTGCACGTTTTTTCTTCTGTGGTTTTCATGCAAGTAAAAGTGCATTGCAGCATGAATCTTAGTGAATGCTGTTTTAGAAACACATCAGCACTGAGTTTTATTATGTAGAATATTTCCCAGACTGTTATCCCATCCTGCTCAGTTTTCTACCTCTTTGCTTTCTTGCTTTGTAATTTTGTTCTTCAGCTTATGCTATTGAACAGGTTGCCCAAGGAGACTGTGGATGCCCCATCCCAGGAGACATTCAAGGCCAGGCTGGATGTGGCTCTGGGCAGCCTGGTCTGGTGGTTGGTGACCCCGCACACAGCAGGGGGTTGAATCTCAGTGATCCTTGTGGTCCATTTCAACGCAGGCCATTCTATGATTCTGTTACTCTTGAAGTTTGCTGTTGTATTGTTATACTGTTATTGGTTGTGTAAGTACTTTTGTAACATTCCAACATGGACTGGTAAATTGTTTGCTGAGTCTTGAATCTCAAAATTGGAGTGCAGAAGGCAGAGTTCAAGAACCCGCTTACAGTTCTGGAGTTTATCATCATAGAAACTGAGGAATCAATGCATGATTTCAAATGTGCGGAGTCTCAAGAACTTATAGTGGGGAAAATCATTGAGTGGCTATTTTTAAATGCTTCTGATTCTGTCATTTCAGTTTTGTTGATGTTGACACCATCTGGGCTACGTACTTGAGTGGATTAAGGTTACTGTACACTTAGTTCACATCGGTGGTCATTTAGACTTTGTGCTTTATGTATATGAATGTGGTATCTGCGTCAGATAGGAGGATTTGCAGTCATGTAAATGCCTTCTGACCTTAGAAGGAAAAGGAAACTGAAGTTAGAGCAAAACAGCATGAGCTTGAAACTTCTTTTTGAGAAGTGATTAATCTTTCATTAAATGTGCTTCTGCAGTAAATTAGACTTTGAAGGAAGGCTGAGAGTTGAAATGGCAAGTCCATTCATTCAATGTGCTGAATGAAGATGATATTCCTGCGGGAGGAGGGAAATCAAGTGATTATGTTGACAGAAGTTAAATTATGAAGGCTAAAATGAGAGGCTGCAGTTCTGACAGTTCAAAACTTTGTCTTAGTGTCATTCTGTTTGTTTTGTAACTTTGTCCGTATTGTGCAATGACTTTACCCCCAAAATTAGACATGATTCATCTGCAAGATTAAACTTGTAGTTGACTAAATGGCTGATAATCATCGTGTGACATCCTTTTTTTCCCTGTGGACCTACCCTAAGACTGTGTGAATGTCTGCTGTTTTACAGATACCATTATGCAAGTGCTAGACAGTGTTTAGAATTGTGATGTGAAGTCTGAGTTCTGAGTTGTGCTCTGAGCACAAGAACTTCCAGTTGTTTGTTTATTGCAGCTGTGCAGGTTGGTTTCTCGTTTGGAACTGTTGATCTTGTCTTGCATCAGCTGGTGTTAACGCACATTCAGACTTGTGAAAGTAGTGCATAAATACAGAATCTTTGAGATCTGTCTAAAGCACAGCTTCTGGGTGACTGGAAAAAAAACAAAAAGAGGCATCTGTGAAAGATGTTGTGTGGTACACCCACGTTTCTTTGGGCATGGCAACTTCTTCCTGCTTCTCTGGGTTAGTCATGGGTCTCAGAAGTTACTTGTTGATCTTCCCATGGTATTCTTTGTAATGTGGCTTTGTGAGGGGATAATGTGGCATGGATGCAGTTTGAAAATTTTTGACAAGTAGATAACAAGCTGCAATTCACGAAGTATTAGGAAACATTATTCAGCTAAATTCCTTGTTCTGCTTTTCAGGATGTGTAGAGCACTTTCTTCTGTTTAAGTTTGAACTCGTTGCTTCTTATGTTTTTGTTTACTTGGGTTAAAACACAGTACTTGTGGTGTGCTGTGGGGAAAGTCACATATCAATTTCATTAGCAGAGGCTAGAAGCTGGCTGGGAAGTGGCTTTGCTGAAAAGGCCCTGGTTGGGGAGGGGTTATCTGGGCATGAGTATGAGTCAACAGCTGAGCATGAGTCAACAGCTTGTCGGAACTGAAAAAAGGCTGTCAGCATCCTGGGTTGTATAAACAGGAACATAGCCAGTGGTTTGAAGGCAGTGATTGCACTCCTATACTTAGTAATCATAAGGTTGAATCTAGAATACTGTGCCTGATTTTTGCCTTTGCCCTCCCTGTGCCAGATGGTCCTCCGCTCCTAACCTTGGAGTGGGGTTAGGAGAAGATCCCCAGAGCAGTCAGGGCTGAAGTACTGTGTGAAAAGACAGACAAGATCGGGCTGCTTCTACCTGGACAACAGATGGCTGTGGGGAAACATAATTGCCACCTGCCTGTTTCTGTGGGAAGGCATCAGGATTATATATACTATTTTCCTGGAGGCACTCAAGACCAGGTTGGATGGGGCCATGGGCAGCCTGAGCTGGTGGGTGGCAGCCCTGAGAACAGCAGGGGATTGGAGCTTAATAGTCTTTAAAGTCCCTTCCAGTTGAAACCATTCAATGATGTAGACATTAGAAGTACTCCAGCTTCCCACTCAAGAAAAGAAAAAGACACTGTCATAAATAAAAATTGGAGGCTTCAACTGGACATGCGGAAAGCCTTTTTCTAATGGGGGTAGGGAGATGATATTGAGGCAACATATATAAAGCAACATATATAAATTATGAAGGCTCTGTCCTAGGAGCTTTTTGTCATGCCACAGGACAAAGCCGTGAGCAGCCTGATCTTGCCCAGAGCTGATGTGTAGAGCAGGAGACTGGACTACAGACCTGCTGCAGAGGTACCTTACCACCCAGGTGATTCTGTGCATTTGAAACTTATGTCAATCTCCTTGTGCTCCTGGCTACCCCTTGTTAAACCCAACTAGGGGAATTAAGTTTTGTCAGTTCCCTTGGTCATCTGTACAGGTTCTATCATCTTGAACCTTGTACTGTGTGGGATGAAGTTAATTCTTCCTGCTGCAGCCCATATAATGGTGTGCTCTGCACTAGTATCCAGAACAGCATTATCACAGCTCCTTCCCCCCCACCCCAAGTCTTATTGTCCCTCGCTCTTCTTTGAAGAGAAGTAAGAGAGCAGTTTGTTAGAGTTTTAACTGGCCATCATATGAAACCACCACAGACTTTACATGGTCTTTACTCATTGACCTTTCAAGCGAGCCTACATATTCTTATTGCTCACTGAATTTGGGAATACATGTGAACCACTCAGAGAAAGGTTAATTGCTTTCAAACAGCTCTTCCAGAACAGCTGTGTGTATTGATTGACCTGCCATATACCCTCTTGCATCAAATTTGCATCAAAGTTTTAGGCTGAAGATCCTTGTGAGAGGGAGAAGACTAAGAAAGCTGGCCTTGAGGAATGCTACCTTCTCGAGGGTTCCGTAGCTCAGGAGAAGGATGAGGCAGTGATTGACCTAAGAAATGTGATTGTGCTCTTGTTATATATGCTATAGCAAAGAGGAGAGATGTGTGAACTAAGTAGATTCTTCACCAGAAGTAGTAGGTGTTTCCAATGTTATGATTGCTATGACTTTGTAACTAGTTATCAGTACTTTGCAGCATTAATAAAATGCTGCTAAAATAAAATACTATTGAAGTGTATTAACTTAACTAACAACTTGTTAATTGGGGATAAGGAACTTAAACTGGAAAAAATATTTGAGTGTTGAAGTTTGTGTTGAGTAATATGGACTGATGAAATAAGCTGGACTATTACACAGCTGAGTGCCTGTGCATACCCCAAATTTGCATAAAGTCATTTCAGATTAGGATGTGTGGCAACAGCTGCTCTTTTCTAATCATTTTAGGCAAAAGGGGACTGGCAGCCACTGCATTCCTTGCAAAGTCCCGCTTTATGCTGGTGAATTCTTTCTGAAAATTGTAGAAGCTGCAGTGTGAGTTTCTTCTGTAAGTGAGAATGTGAGAAGAACTAAAAATAATTGGGCTTTCTAAGAATGAATTGATCTAGCAATAAGGTAACCCAGGATAAATATGTATTTCTCACAAGCTATTTAAAGCTTTGTGTAGAAACTGAAATTTGTCTTCAGAACTCTGCCTTTTGTAGTTATCTGTCAAACTTGGTGTGTATTTTTTTCTTGTTTCAACTGTGTTTTTTTTTTTTCTATGATCTTGTTTGTTTCTCATCATTTTTCTTTTCTCCAGGTATTGCTTATTTCTGTTGTTAGACAACCCCTGATTTATTGATTTATTTATTTTGGTCCTTGCATCTTCATCTTGTGCTCCTGGTACTTTCTGATCTCAGAAATTTGACTTTCCAGTAAAATACAGGAATACAGGTTAAGTTTTTAACAAATTATGATTTTTACCATTTGATGTTCACTGGTGAATTGCTTTTGTTGCCCTGTGCTTGAAGTGTAGCTGTTCACAGTAGTTTTGTATCTGTGAAGTATCCACTGTTCTTAAGCATGTTTGTCTAAACAGAACTTAAACATTTCAGCCTGCATTCCCCTACTCTAACAGAGGTTATCTACCTGTTGGCACTGCAGTTCTCATCTCCTGAATTCACCATTGTCATTGATCGCTATAAATTCTTTAGGTGCCAGTGTTTTAACCAGCTCCTTGAAGTAAACTAAGTTGCTGCATTCCCAGAGAAAATACTTTGTCCACAGTTTTAGCTATTTTTGTTTCTTTAGCTTCTCTGTTTGCTTTAGAAACACATCTGATCTCCATTGTTTGTTCTACAGCGCTTCTTGAGAATTAAATTTCATCTAGCAGTAGTATCGATACTGAAAAGTGATGCCTGTTTTCCAGTATTTTCATTTAAATCTCCATGGAAACTGGACTGTTTAATGTTTAGTTGACCTAGTGATAGCAGTTCAGATGTGTTATCCTATGGAGTTAGTGTTTTGGGAATACTAACAGTAAGTGGAGCTAGATTTTATTTAATAACTAAGTTTCATTATTTTGGCTGTCAGTATTAGTTTTAAAAAAGTTTTATGCCTGGAAAAATACCTTCAGATAGCTGAGCTGGCACTTCAAGATACAGGTTTTTCTTCTACTTGTTATTTGCTTCTGTTGTTGATGATCTTCACAGCACTGAATTCCTTCTGTTTCAGCAGACCATATCATTTACAGCCTTGTTAAAAAGTAACTAAAGCTTTTTTTTATTATTATTTTTGCAGCAAAATGAGAAGGAAAACTTGCTGAAGGAGAGAAACCTCATTTTGTCAACTCTGGGTGAGACAAAGCAGAATCTGACCGGTCTTTGCCAGCAGGTGTGTAAGGAAGCAGCCTTGAGTAACGAGCAAATACAAATACTTGCAAAATATTCTTCCTCGGATTGTCCACTTTACTTTGCATTCCCGGAGAGAGAACGAACAGCTCCATCTGAGAGCGAGCTCACAACACCAACAACTGCAGAGTTAGTAGATGCTCTTTCGAGTGCTACACCTACAAATGAGCAGAGTTCTTGTTTTCAGCGTGTGAAAAGTGTGTGTGATGCAACATTTGATCAAGTACAAGAACTACACCCAGTTCCTGTAAGAACATTGGAAAAAACTTCACTTGTGGAACAATGTGGACAGAGTGGTGCTATCACAGACTTCTGTCAGCAAATGACTGATAAATGCACTACAGATGAGTAAATCTATTCTCTTCCTGTTGCCAGCTTCTCAGCATTGCAATTTAAAATGAAATTGAGCATTGTCGTGCAGTAATTTACTAAGTGAAAGGAAAGATTAATATTTCTTTTAAAGCTGTATGGAGAATTACGCAGCCATTATTGGCAAGCTTCGGTTTGCTCTGTGTAGCTCTAAAGTGTAATTTGTATGTGTCAGCCTTGGAGCTTTTTTCTGCGTGGTGATGGCAAGGGAATGTTCAAGTGAGTTGTTTGAAAGTATAAACGTTGTGCACAGATGTTGATTTGTGAGGAAGTTTTCATTCAGCTATAAGTAGCCTTCACTCTGCTTTATGCCACAGTACCTAATGCCGCCCTACATCTCAAGTAAATGTTCCTGACAGATGTTAATGACTTCTATACATGGAGTGCTTTTTTTCTTTAAGATGGTTTTTGATCTCTCTCTGTCAGACAAGCCTTGGGAAGCATATGAAGCCTGGTGAATGTTTATTTTATACGTGAGTTAAGATAACATAGTTTGAGGAGATTCTGGCAGATGTGCTCTAGAACAACTCATTGCTTCCTGCTGTTCCCATCCCTATAACAAGAGCCAGCTTTTATTGAATATTTGTCTTAGCTCTCCCATGTATAGTTAAGATGACTGGAAAAGCAAAGGTGCTGCAGCATACTGCTCTCTTCTCTGGTTTTTGTGTGAGAAATAACAACACAGTACAAAAGGCAGAAATGTGATTAAAAATTTGTTGTTTTTACAGCATGCATTGAATCCTCTGGCATCTGAATCGCAGATGCTTGCTAAAATTCCTTGATGTACAATGATGTTCTGTCCTAGCATCTATTGACCTTATTGCTATTTATGATAAATTGGAATCAAACTGTTGTGAAAGATTAAGGACAGTTATTGTTGTTATTCAGGTAGTCAGGCACAAATTCTTCATAACTTGAGCGTCTAATTGCATTTTAAGCAATCTATGTTTTTGTTCTGTGATCACTGGGACCAGTAAAGATCTATTTCACAATTTTAGTTTTCAGAATTCCTGGCTAAACCTGTAATGCATTTTCAATGGCTTATGTTATAAGTATAAACGTATAAGAAGTATAACAGGTAAAAGAGCTGTAAAGATGACTTTCACTTCATTTGTGGAGGAGAAATTCAGCCACTAAGATAAAAGAAACTTTAAGTAATCCCTATTTTATTTAAGATTTTTATGTGGAAGTAGATGCATATTGGATGCTGATGACTCTTTGTTACTTAAATGTTATTCTCACACCAGAACTAAGTATTGAACCTCACCACAGAAAACTTTGGTTTTGCTGGTTTACAAAACATGAAGAATCTTTTACAAGCCAGTGGAATTCTTCATTTCCTACCTCAGAATGTGTATTAGCTGTTTGTGTCTTTGTGTGCATGTATAGTAGGCAGCGGCTAGAGCAAAGGACTGTTGTAAATACTGCTTTGCAGTTTTGTCTTGCAGTGAGACAGAACTTGCTAAAGAAACTTCTTGGCAAAGTTTTGTTTTTTTTCCTTCCTCTTACTAGGTAACATAGCATTAATAAATATATTAAGACTATCAGGCCATTTATTTAAAACAAAAAATAAAATTGAGTTTCAGCAGAACTTCTCTTAACCAGCACCTAATACAAGTGACTACACTACCTCATCTGTGGGATTGAAGGTTAATTCAAATCTCTAGTAATAGTAATATCTTTGGATTTCCATTATACATCATTACTTTAAGGAGAAAATTTATGTTAATGGAGCATAGCTTGTATAAATCACAGTGCTTGCGGTGATTGAAATTCAGAAATAAATACTTTATTGTGGACATCATGGAACTTACTAGTTTGAAAATACTCAGATAATTGAATTGAAATTCTTTTCAATGAGCAGCATTTACATATGTTGATCCTGTATGTGCATTACTCATGAAGCTCTGTGTCTGTTCTCCAGCATCTGTTTATCTCTGATTAATTTAATACTGCCTCCCTCATGTGCTGCCTTCGTGGGCGGTATATTAAGTGTCTGTTTTTCTTGTTGGTTCGCTTTATAAGTAATATTAAAAACAGAGTCCCAAACCTTCTGCTGTCCATATGTAACATCACTTTTCAAAGTCGGTGATATTCTGCAATGACATGGATAATGACATAAAGCATTATCCTATAGTATGTGTACTTTAAAATGGGATTTCTTGGGTTAGATATACTTGTTATGAATTGATTGAGCGTATATGTAGACAATGACTGGCAGGGAATATCAATGAGTCCAGTGGCCCTAACCCCTGATTCACCTGCCTGTGGATGACCAAGTCCCAGAAGGTAGAGTATCCACCAAAAAGAATTGTTGCCACGGTCTGATCAGCCATGGCTGAATTCCATCTAGCGAATATTGTGGGGCTTCCAGTGCGGAAGCAATGGCTGTTATTTCATGTCTGGTTATGATAAAATTAATGTAATGTATTTAATCCTATGATGAAAATGATGAAGTTTGAGGGTAGGCTTTTGCCTAACCAGCTGTATCTAAATTTGTAAAATATTTATTTAATACACTAGACACACAAGTTGCATGTTGACTTCTATAGGCTATACCATCAACTTGCAAAAGTTAAAAATGAATGACAGTTTTCTGATACTGATTCTCAGGTAAATGTTTTGGAGTTTTTTTTTTTTTTTCCAGTAAAGAAATGCTCAATTTTGAAATTGTAAAATACTTTGTTAAAGCATGTTTTAAAGTACTTTGGACAGAATATCTTAAAGCCATAAGAGTATGATGGCATACAGATTGTAAAATAAACAGATAATTACAACAGTTGATTTTGTATCTTTCATAATTCAGTATTTTCTAAGACTACAATAAAAACCACTATCCTTTCTACAAAGGCTTTTCTTTTTTTGTATAATTCTTATTCAGTGGGAATGTTTACTGGTGGAGTTGCTTGATCCTATAGCAGATGCTTTATTAAAAGCAAAAGCTGTCATTGTTGGGGAGAAGGCTGGAAAGTGTGGTGATCATAAGGCTTAACATGCTGCTTTTAATTGGTCGGGCAGTGTAGCCACTTTTTCTGAGGAATGGTTTTGTCATTGAAATTTGTAATCACTTGGATTTAGCCCTAAGGAATGCACAAAATACCTATGACCTAAGAGTCAAGATGTTAGCTTTTACAGGGATGTTACTGTGGGGAAGGTTTAGGTTAGGTGTTAGGAGGAAGTTTTTCACACAGAGGGTGGTGAGGCACTGGAACAGGTTGCCCAAGGAGGCTGTGGATGCCCCATCCCTGGAGGCATTCAAGGCCAGGCTGGATGTGGCTCTGGGCAGCCTGGTCTGCTGGTTGGTGACCCTGCACACAGCAGGGGGTTGAAACTGGATGATCATTGTGGTCCTTGTCAACCCAGGCCATTCTATGATTCCTTTTTGAGGAAACAGTCTCAATGCAAGACTGTGATAAGTTTAAATCTCTTAATATTCAGCAGGAAACAACTGCACTGAAAACTAAAATGGGTATGTATGACAGAGAACAGTACTGTACACTTAGTTCTGCCTCTGGATCTTTTTTTAGGAGGCAAGAAATGAGGAACTGCTGATAAATGGCACTCTTGTATATGTGAGCACTTTAGTTTTTATCTGACTGCAACAGGACCGAGTGAAATTAGTAAGAAATCTGTTTGAAATAGTAGTCATTTTTCTAATGTAGAAAAGGTAACAACTCCGATTGTAGCAGTTTCTTTTGTTTTGAACAAAGGATTCGGTGTAAACAGAATAGTTGATCTGCACAGAATTAATGTGGTCCCTTTTTTAGCACAGAAGAAGAAGCTGGGCCTTTATGGCTGTGTGCTAATACCTTGTTTGCTTATTGATTTCCTCTTTTTCATTTTTGTTCCTCAAAAGAATGAACCCCAGAAACGCGCAGTTGAGATTCAAAAACATGTATGTTTCTTTTAATTCCAGCACATTCAGACTTGCTTTCAGTTAAACTTCTGTGGATCAGGCTTAAAGGAAAAAAGGGGAAGTGAGCCACTTAAGACTTCATTTGAAGTTCTGCTTCAAGTATGTGTTATGTTCTTAAACCTCTTTTATGTTCTTAAACCTCTTAGATGTATATACACTGCACAAACTTTATCACTGTTTTTAATCTTTTTTTTTTTTTTTTTTTTTTTTACTTTCAAATACTAATCTGACAACATGTGGACACTTAATTTCACTAACAAAGCAAGAAGTTTTCTTTCCACCTTTGGGTAATTGAGATGGGACAGGGAAAACAGCGTTCATCTCAGCTTGAAGCTTTGGAAACAGGATGTTTAAACAAACATTTCTGGGAATGGTGGGGTATGAAGGTAATGGCATTTGTTGCTGGGAAATATTTTTCTAAATCATAGCAGTTTTATTTTTAAACCTTTCTTTCCTGTGGAATGAGGATGGATTCAGGGTAGAAGTGGCATGCAGTAGAACGTAAAATTTTTCTCCTTTTGAGTAGGTGTTATAGAAAGCTCAGGTTGACTTTTCCATCCCTTCTCCACTGTTTCCAAGTAAACTAGGAATACAAGCACTCATTGCAATGGTCATTCTGTGTATGGTGTAGCTTACTAAGGATGCTATTTAAAACATAGTTATGTGCTTAAATAAACAACGCATTAATATACGATAGGTATTGTAGGCACACATACAAGTGGTCTCTATCCAAAGAAATTTTGATGAAAGAATGTGAAATCTCAGTAATAGGATTTGCAAAATGCAAGATAAACTGTAATCTAAGTTTAGTTTTAGGGCAGTGTTTCATCTTGCCACCTATAAAGCTTTTCATTATAGGCATTCTGGCCTCTGAGAAAGTATGATATGACTGGAGGAAGCTGAAAATGGCTTTAGACTAATCAGTCCTGCACAAAAATGTTCTGTGTTGCATTACTTTGCCTAAATATTAAGCTTCTATAATGTAGTCAACATTGCGTCGCATATAAGTGGTCTTACGTGTACTGAGTTCTAAATACATTGTAAATTTATATTCATACAAAATTGTGCCTGAATGCATCAGGCTGAAATCTGCTTGTGAGCTGAGCTGTCACACACCTTGGGGTGTCTGGAGTTCCTTAGGCCATGCCATGTGTATGTGAGTTGTGCACGTGTCATCTGTGTCCTCGCTGTATTTGAATCTGTGCTTGGAAGGAAGTGGAGGTGTGGGATGACCTGGAAAGCCCTTCAGTCTGGGAACGTCAAGAGGAGCAAATTGTTGTGTGTCAGTATTGAGTAGGAAGTCTTGAACTCTTGAGGTTGTATTTCTGAAGGTCAGTAGGAGTTTAAAGTTTGGTTTTAGATGGTCTAGAACTACAGTTACCATAGGATACATTTTCTTTGTGCACAAGTAATGATTTTTTAACCCTTTCTGTACATGAGAATCATTTTCTGAGCGCTGCCACTGATATAGAACTTCCACCTTTTTATATATCTATAGACTGGTAGATGATTCTGATGGCTTTTTGTTTGGGTTTGGTTTTTTGTCAATGAAGTGTGGAAGTGTCAGATTGTAGGAGACGTATTGGTAATTTGTAGTATTTCCATACTGAAGAGTTTTCCATTATTCTTCTAGTGAGAAAATGAGTTTCTTGCTCTGTTTTCATCAAAATATATTAAATATTTGCATGCTAAAAAAGAAAAAAAATTAGCTGCTTTCAAATGTGTGTAATTTTATGAAGAGTCACCTTGAGAACAGAAAAACCTTAGTGCCCAAGTAATTCTACTTACGCAGCGTCTTTATCTTTTGGTGTGATCTGTTTTCCTATCCGAACTATAGATGGCAGCATAATCCTACGCACTGCCTGTATCCCTGGCTGCATCCAGGTAAGGATGCATTTGTTGGTTAAAAAGAAAGCAAAGCAAAAATGAGCTGGTGGAAGAGTGAAATTAGATGTTTCTTAAAAGCCATTGAAAATACGAATGTCAGTATCAAGCACTTCATCCTGCAAATTGCTTAATACTCATGCAACTTCAGCAGGTGAGTGATGTGAACGCAGTCTGCTGGTTGCCAACGTTGTCATATTGTATTCAGATGTGAATTCCAGAAGCATCTATTTTGCTTTCTTGTTTTCATTCCTCAAGCATATCGTATCACATGGACTTGGATTCAAGATAGAAATGAGAACAACAGGAAAAATAATGAACAAAATATTTCCTGAGGCTTACCACTTTGTGATTATAATTAAGTTGGAGAGAGCATTGAAGTTTGCCTTGGGGTCTCAGCTAACAGCATGTTAGCACCTTTTTAGTGTTATTAATTATTGCTGCTATTAGTCCAATTAATGTGCTCAACTTCTAAGAAAGGAAAGGTCTTCAAATTAAGAGCTAGCGTGAGGCCTTTTAAATATAAATAGGGACAGAACTAAATTATGGTTTAAAAATGAAGCTACTGTTTTCAAATGATATGATTTAGCTCTCAGCCTGGCTCTAATATCATCACCAGTATGTGATGCGCAAACAGGCAAGAACTTTGTCCCAGGCAGTAATGGGAATTCAGGTTTGTGAGTGTCAAAGAGCCTGGTTTGGTGGTTGGCGATGCTGCCTGTGGCAGGGGGGCTGAAACTAGATTATCTTCGAGGTCCTTATCAGCCCAGGCCATTCTGTGTTTCTATGATTGTTTCCCCAAAGTTGAGGATGATTCTTCTGCCTCTTTCTTTTTCACTGGTGGAGTGCCATCTTCCTGGGCTGTCTTCTTGGATGCTGCTGAAGACAGCAAACACTGCTTTCAAACAGGCCAAAGTGCCAGGTGACAGAAGGTATTTGATGTGAACACAAACAGCCACCCATGCTTTAGAAGAAGAGATTTGCTGTCTCTGGCTTCTTGTAGCACAAACTGCATTGCTCAGCTGATGCCATCTAGCACATGCCCTCTAAGAAGGGGGAAGGAGAAGGAGCTGAGATAAAGCACGTGCCTGTGTTTTAGTTTTAGGTCTGCTGAGAAGCTTCAGTAGTATCATACATGCTGCTGTCAGAGGTTGCTGGATTAATCATCAGGGTATGTGTTGCAGAAGAATGAAGTCATACAATGGAATTACAGGCAAAGGTGAAAACTTTGTGCTTAACTGTGTGTGTAGATAAAACCTTGGAGTGTCCCGTCCCTGGAGACACTTAAGGTCAGGCTGGATGGGGCTCTGAGCACCTGATGCAGTTGTCGGTGTCCCTGCTCATTGTTACAGGGGTTGGATCAGATGGCCTTAAGGATCCCTTCCAATTCAAACAATTGTATGATTCTGTAAATCCAGTAACACAGAGATCCTAGCAGTAACTTCTTCTATTTCCATCAGGTTAAAAGCACACATTAGATCATGTATACGTGGCAAAATTTTCTACCATAATAGTGAAATATAATTGCCTTGTTCTATAACTCTTCTTGTAGAGCCAGTTATACACGTGTTTTTAGGGATATTAATTTGCTTGAAGAATGACCAGCTAAACCAGAGAATAGCTTTTCATTGGAACAGTATACTGGTGTACTCAAATGCAAATATTAAAATCAAATGCAGATATCATAAAAGGAAAATTTATTTTTTAAACCTATTACTTTACTAAAGAAGATCAGGTATCAGGAATGGTTTTTCATAGTAATAGAAATAATTGTGCATAATTTCAGTCGCAAAACTAGCTTGAATCCTTCATTTGAGCTGTCAGAAGTTACTTATGCTCCATCTTAAAATCAAGTGGTTGTTTTAGCACAATGTTTTTAACATTGCACTATAAAACTCTGAAAATAGAGGTTTACAATGAAACCCCAATGCAACTAAGCAATAAAATGCAACGGATCATTAATCCTTCTTTACTGTTTTCTTCTTCTGTCATTCTGAAGATCCAATATGTAATCCTAGAGATCTTCTTTGGTTGTGTTACCTTATGGAG